ACACACAAATTATTGTTATGAGTCGGGGTGTTCTTTGTTTCTGTTTCGTGAATGATATATTCCTAGTGCGGCAGTTGTCTTTTGAAAAGAGTCACCTATCAGGTGACACAAAAACTGGCTTACACCAGTATTATAAGGCGCATGTTCTATTCAAATTTTATCATCTATCGTAAGTTATTCATGATCGTAATGGTCTAGGAGCCTGCGATCGTCAGGCCTTCAACGTTTTATAAAAGCTTTTCTGTTATAAACAGAAAAGCTTTTGCCCAACCGAGGTAGGGACTTTTCATCTTGGTGGCTTTGTGCTTATAACAAAGCGTAGTTTTTTATATTAACTTCGTAATGAGATCAGAAGTCACATCATTCAATATAGGCGCGCCCTTGACGTGCGTTAAACTGTTATTCTACTTTTGTCATAATATAGCAACTAGATTTCATAAAACATTAAACCTATTAAAATATAGTTTCTAAGTAGCCAGAACTTTTTGTTAGTACTGACCAGATAGTCCAGTTGTTCTTGCCAGATAGAGTTAAGGTCAGCTCTTCGTGTAAGCACTGAGGCGAATAGCATTACAAGAAATGTGAGATACTTTGTTTTTGTTTGATTTATTAGTAATGCACTTTTTAACTTGAAGGCGTTGGTTGATATTTAGAATATATTTACTAGAATTTAAAGAATTATTTAAATCGATTCGGTAGTTAAGGGTTTATTAATCGCAAATGAGGTATATGAATACTTCAAACACTCAAATTAGTGTCGCCTTCTAGCAAGTAATTTTCAAAAAACTTTGAATGAAAATTTAATGTAGAAATCTTACAATTCGTTTTTTGTCCCTTTAAGGGTTGAATTGAAAGTTTCTTTTCTTATTTTCTAAAATCATCAAATAATTCTGTGTTATATGGAAAAGTGAAAAATAATACTGCCTTCGAATAGCTTGACTTTGAATGACTGTTGAATGAATTGTTTTGTGAAACGCCAAAAAACATAATTTTACCAGGTATAAAATAAGGAAAGCCAAATGGCGTTTTGTTCAGAAAATTGATCAGAAAATTAAGTCACGAAAAGGTTTACAATACGGATTGTTATCCAAATTAACTTTTTTCTGTTTAAATATTCATAATAATTTAAGTTCTTCTACACATTGCATTTATAATATATATATCTAGGCATCATATAAGTAATGAATTACAAAATTCTTTTAATTATGATTCAATATGATTTAAATATACGTTTAATAAAATTACATTTAATCAACGTATAAATTTTCGCCTATTCATTCGTCATTCAGGACCAGATTGACAATTTATATTTGTTGATTTTCACCCGCAACTTTATTTCATTATTTCATTAAAGTTCAAATAGCTGTTAATAATTATATTAGGCTATTTTATGTAGAAATCGAATAATCACACAAATATTTCAGTACCAAACTATATTGTTCTATCAATACTCATATGTCGGCATGCCGAGTAATCAATGTATATTACCGATTTCTTTTATATTGATTGATAAAACATACGTTTATTAAATATAAACCAAATAAGAACATACAAGATACATAAAAGAACATAGTGTTGTTGTTATCGGTAAAAGTGTCTGAACTTTCGATGAGTATGCGGCCATAACGTGCTCGTGCTCTTGTTACTCAAATCCTCCCGAATAAGCAATATCTCTTTTAGCCCTTATTACACAAGTACGATTAAAAATTAAGTTGACAAAATATGTAGTGTGTAGTGTACTGCTGTTCTCAGCTTAGGTAATTCATAACGGCAGAGAGTATTTATAAATAAAGCATTTAGATACTCTTTTCTGTTGAAACATACGCTTCATTGTCTTTTCTTATTGTCTACAAAAGTACTTCAAAGTAAAAGCACAGTCGCAAATGTTTAAAAGCCCCTTCTTCTCTTTCTTTGACATAGATTCCAGGAATGACGACTTGAATAAAACTTCAGAAGGATTATCTTAAAAGTACGGGTGGACGATTTGAATGCAGCACGCTTTTAAAATATAAATTTTCTATTGCAATCTGGAGTAAATCTACGCTAATTACTGTCACAATAATCAAAATTATAAGTTTTGAGTTTATATCATACGTAATAATATTCATTAGGTTGATAATTTAAAACCAAAAACGAACCACATGACCTTAAAACGTCCAATGACAAAGATATGAACTCCTTAATTCAATCAATCAATCTTTTGCACTCTACTGCTAAACACAGATCTCTGATAGAGCAAGTCTTCACAGACTTCAATCTGACTTTACCGATTGGCGATCTCCACTCTAGGACACGTTGGCTCCTACAGGCCCCAGTTCTCGGATAGAAATGGTCACCCCATAGCCATTTCAGCATGCTTAATCTGCGGTAATTCTGGTTCTTTGTCGATTTTTTTATTATATAGGGGCAAACGAGCAGACGGTTCACCAGATGGTAAGTGATTACCACTGCTATAACTGCAACTCAAGAGTTGTCGGTCTTTCACTGCCCACGCCCGCTGTTCGACTTTCAGTTTCAGGACTAGCCCCATGTGGCCACGGTAAGAGTTAGCAACCCAGTATCGAATTTCACAGGTAGGAAACACTCTTTGAGTACTTAACTGTACTGAAATAATTAATTACACGTATCAATTAACAATAGAAGTTCTGACAAATGTTTAAAATGATAAAGTTAAAAAAATAAAAATATTTTTTTTATTAAAGTATTGATTTTTAAAATTATACTTTAAGTGATTTTTACTTGCAAAGTATTTTATATAATTAAGAAGTATTATTTTTATATTTGAAGTCAAAGATATGTAAATGTTATTAAAAATAAATACACCACTATAAATAAAACAATTATAGCAATCCAGCCCATGATCTTAACGATATAACAAGTAATTAGTTATGTATTCTACTGATATAATTGCATACACTGTGATCACCGTCTGACCTCGTCTATGTAATTCACATATTGCGCTGTTAAATATTTAAAGTTAAGATTTTTTATCATTTCTTGTCATAACATAGTTTATATGCTTATTTTATGAATAATGTGTTTAATACTTCAAACACTTATAAATATTAATATTACATTCTACTTTATTTAAGGTTAAGGTTCCTTAGTTTTACTTCGTTATCAGAGGCATTTGGCAAAAAAAAGAACACAAGAAAACTTGGAGCTCAAGAAAAGAGAATGTAAAGAAAGAACCGGATACACAAAATGGAAAAAAAGAAATTAACAAAATGAATAGAAAGAAATCTTTCAAAACTCCGTAATACTTTTAAGATATATATTATTTTGTTTTCATTGTTTGTTGTTATAGCGATAATAGAAATAAACAAACAATGAAAAAGTTACTATCTTTCTATCTATTACGTGAGATAACGCCTGATATCTAGTGAATGGCGAAGATTCAATAATAAGATTCTATTTGGGTACGGAACATTTGGGTAAGGAATACTTAAAAGGCTGCCTAATAAATATATTCGGTTTATACACCCCTACCTACCCCATCGGGAATATAGGCTTAAGTATAAATAAATTCCCTCGTTTTCTAAAGCGGAGAAGATTGGTAGTTGTGAGGACACATAAAATCATTATTATGATATCCCACACTGCATTGAAAGTTTTCTCTCTTAAAGTTTTTGGAACGAAGTTCCTTATTTTTTTCAAATTCAGAGCTCGTTTATTTACTTTACATTACGTAAAATTGAAAAGATAAACAATGGTATGGTATGGTAAACAATGTGAATATTAAAAAAATGTATTGATGCTTTTATTTTACTGAAATGTAACACCCATAAACACGGGCATACGAATATTATGTTGATATTAACAAAACCTCCTTTCTAAGGAGAGGCCTATGTCTAGCAGTGGACTGTTAAAGGCTGTTAATGATAATGATGATTAACAATATAATAAAGCAACTACTATTAAGGAATTTATTATTAATTCTGCTTTAGTAACAGAAAAATCCATGTGGTGACGAATTAAGAATAGGGAGTGTCACCACCGCTATTCATCCCGTGGGTGTCGTAAGAGCCGCCTAAGGGAAAAAACTATGCAGGACAAGAGCTCTGCAAAGAGAAGGAAAATTTGACACCAACCCTATACCAACCCATCTGGCCAGCGTGGTATAGTAGGCCAAAACCTATTTTCTAAGGAGAGGCCTATATAAAGCAGTGGACAATTAAAGGCTGATGATGTGATGTGATGTTAACAGATAAAAATAGTTTTTTTGCATCGCAATCGCAAACCAAATTTTGTTCTAAAAAATGTGTGTTATAACCTGTATTGTTTTTCAATTTCAGTTATCGATTTGCCCCTTTTCTTAGCACATCAATGGATGAAATAAAATTGCCTTTTGATAAAACTCAAACTTCTTTTATTTATTGCATAATATGCAAAATATAGGTATGTAGTTTACGGCAGTAACATTTCTTTTTGTGATAACTGGTCTACTAGTGATAATATAAAGTACTAAAAACCTTTTACAACTAACTAACCTTTTCTTCGGTTTTGGTTACGATATCTGATATCAGTGATTATTGTACCCTTTTTTTACGCGGGGAATGCTTTTCGCATCATAACCCCCTTGGGCAAATACAGGACGTGTGTGGGACTCCCGGAGGACCAGTTTACCCACTAAACTCGACTACCTCGGCAGTCAGTGTCATCTGTATCGGGTCGTTTGCAGAAGCCACATGGCCGAAAATGTGGCCGTAGCGACCCTTAGGCGGCGATGGGGAAGCTAGCGTCCTCTTTGCGCCCTCCTTCGAGCGGGATCGGCCCTCTCCCGATCCCGCTCTGCGGCCTTCTTCTGGAGCATAACGCCCTCGCAGAAACTCATCCCAATGTTAAAACGATAATAGTTATCGTTTTAACGATATAGGTTAATAGGCTATCACAATTCCTATATTTGAAGAAATCTGCTTTGAACAATGTTTATATTGTTATGTATTAATTTTTATGGCCTTCAACTTTTATGGAAAACAAGGAGATACCTTTGAACTCACCCTGTAATTATAAAGATGGTTTACAACACACGTGAAGTGTACGTCTCTTCCCTGTGTCACAGTGTGGTTCTCCAGAGCTTGGAGAAACTCTGGTTCCTGGTCCACCTGCTTCGGCATTTCACCTGTAAAGATTAAAACGCCTTTAATATTTTCAAACTTATAATCACTCGATCGTTGATCATGCCCGCTTATTCCAGACGAATATGGCGGATAAGGTTATACGTCTTATTAAAATTCATTTGCATTGTAAATTATAATATACTGGCTGAATCGTGCAACTGCGTTTAGGTCTCTCAAAAAAAAAATCGACGGTTTTGTAACATTTTTCATTGATCCTTGGCTCCTATTGGTCGTAGCTTGATGTTATATAGCCTTTCTTGATAAATGGGCTGTACAACGCTAACGTTCCGATTGGAACAAGTAGTTCCTCCTGATTTCCTGATTTGCACCAACCAAACTTAATATTTATTCTGTTGTGTCTAACGCTTTTAATTATTTAATGTAATAACAATAATAACAACTTGACACATCACACTATGTTCACTACTTTATCAAACTACAGACTAAAAAGCGTTTTATAGTTTCTGAGCCTATTTCATAAGCATTTATTTAATTTTATACTATATTATTAGAGTACTCCATAATAGCTACTTAATCTGTTTCAAGCAATTTTATAATAAATTAATATTCAAATTACTTAGGCTGGAAGGGCTTTAGCTTGTCGATGTCGTGAAAAATATGTTTTTTTTTTAAATTAGTTATAAGTACTTTCTAAGTAAATGTTATAAAATTTGTTATTTTTGTATAAACATTACATAAATGAACACAATTTACGTAATAATCGCAAATACAGTTAAAACAAGTTTCTGATGATGTAAATCTCTAAGATTCTAAGGATTTAAGTACTAACTAGTAATAGGTGGCATCACCTGGTTTAGAGTCTTGTTAGAGATCTTCTGTACTCTACCTTATCTTACCTACTCAAATGATCGGTACAGGATAGAGAATAATCTTCTTGTGTGTCCAACCGTTCGTATTAAAGTTATAGATTATATTGTTATGCAACCTAGATGACAGACCCAAAGGTGAGCAGAACAAAGATCTACCAATCAGCTACTAGCGTTAAAAATGCTTGCAGTACCTACAGTGTCAACTATTTCGTTATTTTTTTACATATCTATATTGTTTTACATATCACGAATATTGTGTAATTGTTGTTAATTATATGAACGGAGCACATTTTTCTTGTTCTAACAAGTCATAAATAATTATATCTAAAGTAACTACTAAATAAATATACCAAAGTAACCGTCATTTGATAGTGCGTCATCTGATAGAGATTTCCTTTCATTTCATATTCCACAAATAATATTATGTTTTATTGTACCTATATTATTTAGTGTCTAATAAAGTACTTAACGTCAATATAGAATTATTTGAGTAGGTGGGTAGACCGGTAGCTTAAAATCCCGGCAGGAACATTAACGTGCAAAGTTCGTAAGACCGATGACACATAAACGAGCCGTGATATCTGACGTGTGCTGAGATCGAGCTTAGTGCAACTTTATAAGATAGCTTTGTTTAACAAAGTTATACACTGTTTCATTTTATGTTTGGCTTCAAAGTTACAAAACGTGAGTTGTATAATCTGCCAAAACGTGAGGGCTACAATTTACACCATTGGAAGCTTCAAGTACGGTAACGTTCTGTATAAGGATATTTTCAGATAACTTGCGTTTTACGCACATTACTAAAACGTACAGTATCATCCCATCAATAGCCTTTACTAGTCCACTGCTGAACATAGGCCTCTTCTTAGAAAGGAGATTTTGGTCTACTATACCACGCTGGCCAGTTGGATTGTTATAGGGTTTGTTTCAAGTTTTCCTTCTCTTTGCAGTGCTGTTATCCCGCAGAGCTTGCTCTCTTGGTCAGCTCTTACGACACCCATTCGATGAATAGGGGTGGTGACACTCCGTATTCTTAATCCGTCACCACACGGACAACGTTCAGGTGTTGTGCATAGGGCACGTTCACATGATGAGTCATTACCGCACATCCATCCTCTTGATCTTTTACAGTTACAGAATCTTTAAATACAAGATCACTTGAGAGTAGCTTGACACAGCCAAAATAGCTCCATGTTCCAAAAACTTTGTCATTCCTTCAAAGTAAAGAATACAAAATGCAGCGATTTTTGTAAATTATGTCATAGGACAGTATAGCACCAAAAGAACTGAACTCTTCGTCTCTGTGAATGGAAACAAGCAATATGAAAAAAGCAAGAAATAAACTACTTATGACAAAGTATTATTTATACTAGAAATAGGTGCAATTTATTTAAATTAATGTAAATAAACATAATAAAAATGAATAAATATTCCTTCCCTTGCTATATGGCAGAACTTGATTGTCTTCAAACCGGATTGCGAAGGGTGTTTATTGACCAGGCTTATCTTACTGAGAGTTAGAGAAGGTTCGTAAAGAATCCCAAAAAATCCGCCAATAGCGCGCCCCCGTAATTTACCGATGTTTTATAATTTAGCGACGTTAGAATATTTGACTGAGAAACCATGAAATTTATTCATTCAACAATTGTTCTGATTCAAAAGCAAATAAAAACGAGTGGAATTCAATTTTAAAAATTTTTGCTATGCTGATTGAAAAAAACGTATTAAAGAACTAAACCTACACGGCTTTCAGAGTTCTTCTAAAAAAAACTACCTTCGTTTCGAACTTTAATTCTGTTATACGTATATCTGTTTACCCGGCGGTTAATCCTGGTCAGCACTTACCGAGTTTGCAGTCAGTACTGAGCCTTATACACTTTGTAACAAACAGGTATGTACTGTGGCGATTTTCACATATCCCTCCACATTTATCCTTCGTGTTGCAGGGACATAATACCCTTTTCTCAAATTAAAACGAAACTGATAAGTACCAGCGTGGCTGATAATTATGTTTGCACTAGATGAGAATGTGTCGAAAATCTGAGGACGTTTTCTTTTTATGAAAATACTTTTACATGAAAAGAAAATGTCTATACTCACGCTATTAAATTTTGAATTAAAGTTTGTCCGTTATTATTATTATAAATATTCAAATTATGTCTGTTTATATTATACTGTTGCTATGTCAAGCTGAAATCGTTCAATTCAACACACGAGTTGCAGGGTTTGGCCTCCAAGTCTTATAATATAAAGGTATAAGAAAATAATTAAGTTTGGGTTCGATCTGATTTTGACTTTTTTTGTCATGTTATAGTAACTTACAAGTATAGGAGCGGATCCGCGTATGTTAAGAAAAGGATACTTTATACCGAATCCTCACAGCGAGAGTTTAATTTTGCTTGTCCGTTTTCTTATTTAATGAAACTTTTTTTTTTTTTATGTTAGTGGGGGCAGACGAGCAGACGGGTCACCTGATGGAAAGTGACTATCGCCGCCCATGAACGTCTGCAACTCAGGAGTCACAAACGCGTTGCCGGCCTTAATTATTAGGTTTGAAACAAAACGAGCTTCTACGTGTTTTTATGACCCCAACGAAACAAAACAAATATTCACAGCAATAATATATTATAATACTGTCACAGTTTATTTGCTCCTAATAAATATTTTATTCAAATAATACTATAAGGAAAGTCTTAAGTGTTATTGTATACATATTTAACTGTATAGGCCTGTATAGTTACTTAAGTATAATGTAAACAGTTTTATAAATAGATTATTGACTCGACCCTAGAAATCGATCATAATGTATATAAAGTAATAACTGATAGTAGCAACTTGCTTGTGACAATACTTTGTCATTAGTATTTCTAGACCTGAAAGGCATATGCTCGGATCTAAAGATACAGCCAAAACTACTTTTTAAAATCAGAACAAGAAAGTTTTCTTTTATGTTTCTGGCAAACTAACTCTTGTATTTATATATTTATTTATGTTGGAAATACATTCATGCCTATTATTTGATCTGACGACTTTCCGAAATATTTTTAAGGCATAGACTCATCCCAGTTAATACCTCCATACCATAACTTTTAATGATACTCAAAGGGAGAGTAAATAAACATAAATCCTTATGCATTCTAGTTCTTTCATCTGTTTAGACTTATTTTAGAGATAAGAAGTTGATATTGTTTTTTTAAAGAAAACTCTCTTACTAGGAATGGATCCTGTGTCGTCAAAAACTGCACAAAACTTTACATTGAATCAACATACGTTAAAACATCTAACTCGAGACAACAATTTGTGAATCACACAACTCGACGTTTAGCGGTGAGGTACTTTAACGATTGGCAATACGTGCTGTCCTCGCCTTTTACATTTGAGAAGGTATGTTCATGTTGTAATTTATTAAAGAAATAAGCAAAGCTTTTCTTAATTATTAATATTTGTGTTTTAAAATTTATGTCACTAGGGCAGTGGGAATTCAAGAATAGAAAACGAAAATATGTGGCAAAATATTATGATAAAGTGAAGAAATGATATAAACTAAGTAACCACATTACAAATTTAAGAATTCAATAACATCACATTACTAATTACTATAAGAACAAGATAAATTAGACCGCAGTGTAGATATCTTTTTGTTTTGTAAATGATAAGAAAACTTTTTCCACACACACAACAAATATCTCGAACAAAAACCAAATTCTATTAAAACCTTAATGTATCTACAGTAGTCATTGTAGTAGAGTTACCATATAACGTACTCTAAATAAGGGTAGGCTTTGAACCGAATACTGGCAATGTGGAGATAAAATCTAACGATCTTTTACACTTTACGATATCACACAGAAGGCGTCTGGTGACTGCGTAAGGTGGATGAATTCTGTACCTGGACGGACGGAATAAGGACAAATCCTAGCAAATGCTACTGCCTGTTTCTGGGTCGGCATACCTAATTACCAGATATACCTCATATGACTCCGGGATTACTATGGGTGGGGAAAGTGTTTCAATAATATCAGAAATAGTGTCCTTTAAGTTCTTGGAAGCAAGATAGACTACAAAGGTCGTACATGACTTAACCAACAGCCAATAAGTAACGTAAAAAAAGCTTGAATTTGCGACAGCTACTTAACATCACCTCTCAACTGACCGTTTCTGGTATAAGATATAAAGCAGAACCCATTAACCTACTCGGTTACCACTTAGCCACGTGCCCTTCTCGCGATTTTTGCAATTCACATTACATAATTTACATTTTTCGATATGAACTAATATTTTTTATAATTTTACATATTTTTCTTGATGTTAATTAAAAAAAATATGTAGATTCTTCTTACATGCGTATTTTGAAAATATATCACTAGTTTCGACCCGAAGGGGACATTTTCTCGAAGAGTAAAGCAGCCTTTCAAGACGTTGTCAGAATTATAACGCCAGACTTTCTAGTGGAGTTCCTCTTGATAAAAAATTATACAGATCGACTTAATACAATTATCGATATACGATCGTGTTAGCATCGTATCCTGAAGTCTAAAACAGCTAGAATAAGCTGGTAACAGGTACACTAAACTAATAGGGGTTAATACCTAAGTGTTGCGCGAAACAGGTGTAAGCTTCGAATTAACATATTTGCAGTTTAAACGGGGTTAGATAATGTTTATTAGATCACGTGGCACTATTCTTGGCATGGTGAATAGTTTGATAATGTATTTAAAATCATAAAAATTATATTACTGTTAAGTAGTAAGAAGTTTATCGTGAGTGACAACTTAAATAGATCGTACTGTTTACAGAAACATTTAAGCTTTGAAGGTAACAGAAGTGAGCTATTTTTAATCCAATACTTACTTAGTTTAAATCTTCATATACTTAAACATACTAAGCTTTGCCTTGAAAATAAATCATATATTACCTCTTATATTTATAACGTGCGTTATCTTCTTGTTTAGATCCTTCGTTTAATTTTGCTATAAAATATAGCCATATTTTGTGTATATATTGCTAGATAAAATTAATCTGTCAGTAATTTTATGTTGTTAGTATTTTTCAAGTAGTATCGGTAATATTTCAGTCTCTTATAAGTTTATCATAACTTTTTTGTTGGTATCATGATCAGAGGTAAGTACTGTTACTTAATAAGTTAGTTAATAAGTTAGTGTATAAACTAAAGAAAAGTAGTCGGTTAATTACTTTTATCGCACTGTATTTACAAACACTTACTACTGTTACAAGAAATCACTATACAACTCGTTAGTCGCTCAGTGGCGCAGTGGTAGCGTATGGGACTGCTGCAGTCGATTCCCGGGTCAAGGGTCAAAAGGTTTGTATTTTTTTTTGTATGTTAGAGGGGGCAGACGAGCAGACGGGTCACCTGATGGAAAGTGATCATCGCCGCCCATGAACGTCTGCAACTCAATAGTCACAAACGCGTTGCCGGCATTTTAAGAAGGAGTACGCTCTTTTCTTGAAGTTTGAAGGTCGTATCGGTCCGGAAATATCGCAGACGATAACCCGTTCCACAAATTGGTTGTGCGGGGCAAAATATTTGAGTATTCTATCAGTCAGTCTAGTTTTCATATTACAATCTTTGCTTAATTTGAAACTAGATGGCGTTGTATGTCATATGTCCAGTATGTAATTAGACAATGTGAGAAATATATTGTTATTTATTTTAATTGTATAGTGAGATAAGACTACTGAAATTGTAATCGATGAAGATTAAAAACAATTGTGAAAAAAATATTTAAAATATTTCACATTATTTTAATCTACATCGATATGAATCGTAGTATCAATAAAAAAATCAAGATAATATTTATTTATTTGACCAACATAATATGTTACAGTGAAGGACATTTTATTTAAATAGATCTCTAAAAATACTTTCGTTAATCCCTCTGTAACATAGTGTTAAACTAAGGTAATATTTTTCTAATAATGAGATCTAATGAAAATTTAAACATCAAAATCATTTATTGTTGATACAATAACGTTTTACGTTTTTTACTTTTATTTCATTTTTACCCGTACTGTTAAGATGCGCCCCAAAAAATAATTTTAAAATGTTTTGTAACTGTTCATGTGTTAACTTCCGATTGAACATCATTGTTTTTTTGTCAATTTATCACAAGTTAGCCACATCATTCAAAAGCGTCAAAATTACTTGATAAATTCTAAGTCTGAGAATAACCAAAAAATAAATTCGTTTAATATTCAACAAATAATTAAAATAATTAAACACTTTTAGTTTAGTTTCTTTGAAACTTCAATGACAATAGTTCATCTAGTATCCTATACAATATAAATACAGGATAGATGGTATGGAGGATTCCATACCATCTATCCTGCTGTAATAATTTTTATTTGATACAGAACATACCTAAATGTTTCGGAAAAAAGTATGTCCATGTTAAGACAACAAGATTAAGATGCAATTTCAATGCAAGACATCTTGATTCCTTTAAAAAAAATTGTTTCTGTTGGGATTTTACTTAATGATCAAAGTATATTTTTAAACTAAAATTGTAAATCAATTCTAGTGACATAAAATAAACCAAGACCAGAATCCTAAGAAACAGATTAATAATTTGTTTAATTGCCAGGTCCATTCATTACGAGCTTTTTTTATATGTATGTTACTCCATTCCTCGAAAACGTATAGATATTTTGCAATTGGTTCATTGATGAACATTGATCTGATGTCAATTCTAACTTAGGAACGAATTACTTAGAAATTTTTATATACGCCTATAAAGTTTTGGAAATAGCGAATCAATTAAATAAGTAAAAGATGGAAACCGCAACTACTAAAAATTAGGTATTTTACTAACTCTGATTGATATTCTTAAAAATGCTTAGCAATTCTTAGTGGTCACAATGAATATGGTAAACCTCTTGAAGATCTTCACTACAATAAATGACCCTGCATAGAGAAAATTAATGATTAAATAAATGAAAAATTCGCGACCTGCTGAAATCAATTTATCCGATATTTAATGAAACAGTTTCGCATTCCGTCCCCAGTTTTAATAATAAAAAGATATTGACTTACCAGTAACGAATACACTAAAAAACGTTGCAAGCCACCAGGCCGCTTTCGTTGACGACGGCGATAGCATGTGTCGGCTGATCATTGGTCTGAAACAAGTAAAATATTATTGATACTTACACAATAGGCTTTTTTAAAATCACATATGAAAGGAATGATAATTAAAATTACAGTTTACATACCGATATCTAACGATACAATTTGATTAACAATTAACTATTCGCTGCCTGCCTTTACACTATTTGTTAAATATGCATAGCAAACAGATTACATGATCTATTTATTAATAGATCGCTAATGGCAATATATTTTGTTTCTTTGATCAATATTTTTTAGCAAAACTTTCATACCAGTTAATTTCCTAAGTTATGTAAGGAAAATGTGATTGATAATGGTAACTATTACAAGTACAATATTATGCTTATGGAGGAACGGGTTATCATGTCCCTCCAACACAAAGGGAGGATCCTCCGACCAGGCGAGGTGATCATGCCTGGTGGGCCGCGGCAAAACGGTGGTGCTGGGAAGTTGTATATATGCTAATCGGCGAGAGAATTTGACTGCACGGATGGCGTAGTGGTTTAAGTGGTCGCCACGCCGCTTCCTACTACGCCGAGTGTTGTGGGTTCAAACCCCACATTGGACAACACTTTGTGTGATCCACAAATTGTTGTTCTGAGTCTGGGTGTTCTTTGTGTCCGTTTCATGTATGTTTGTAAAGTCCCCCGCGACACAGGAATATATATTCCTAATGCGGGCGTTGTCCTTTTAAAAAAAAAAATATATATATATTAATATCGCGATACAGGATTATTGTTACTCCATAGTTCGGTGCATCTTCGATAGATGGCGCTGTAGTATGTTTCTTTGTTTCACCGTATGTAGAAGTCACCACATGCTTAACCAAAAAAATGAGTTAAGTTAAAATAGAGATTTTTTATGTTAGTTTAACATTATCATGACTAGCAATGGTTATTAACTTTAGTGGTCTACAATAATGTGAGTCCTAATTACTTGAACAAAGAAAATTTATTATTGCAAGCCTTCGCCGCGTATTTAAATATTCTTAAAAGGATAGTAGTTAAACACTGAGAGAAATCTAGGAAACACCAAGGAGAGAAGTCTTAGTAAGATCAACATGATCATAATGCGTGCCTGAATGTTTAAACACAGAAAAGGAGGTTTAAAATATTGGCACAGGCAAGTACATTAGCAGTGTAACTTGTGGTCAAATGAACTGGTTTTTAATCTTTTTGTCAATTATTTATTTATTTAACTTCATGCACTTTTGTACATGGGTAAACTTAACGCCCAGGGCATTCTCTTTCAGTCAACCTTTGGATGGTGTAGAAATCTTGTAAGGTAGGATATATAAGGTAGGACCATAGATAGTACGTCATAATATCAAGTGTTCAATAAAAAAAAACGGTTCACTACATACATAAACATATACACACATACAACACTACACATCATAAATACACATACATACGATTATATGTATATACTAGTATATTGATATAGATACATAGACATATTAGAGTTCACTAAGTAGGAGTTGATGGAGGGACATAAGAAAAGCAGATTCTTATCTGATCGAAGATTTCTGTCGTGATTAGTACACAGGTAATGAAAGTAGGGAGCAAGGTAAGTAGGTAAGTAGAGATTTCTCGACTCACCGTAGTTGAGAAATGAAAATAGAGCGGTAAGTGCACGCTGTTTGCGGCGCAAGCGAATTATCTTCTATGCATCGTTAGATTGTTCAGATAAATATTGATGAAGTAAGATTTATAGTTTAAAGCTTCGATAAGACATCTTTAAAGAGGAGTTAGTGTGCTCAGAATAAGCGTTATATAGAAAATTATTATGTCGCATTGAAACTCGTTAAGCAAATGGCATAATTTTTAGTTCCCTTCCCTTTTGTAATTAATGGGGCAACTTTTTTGTATAGTTAAAGTCGAGCTATGTGCGGACACAGTGAAAATACAATAAAACAATGTATCACAATAGCTTCAACATAAACTGTTCCGTTCTTACTTTTTTACTCAGTGCTATCGGTTTGGCAATTTTTGTTAGAACTACCTTCCTCATTGCATAAAATTATTCTGCAACATACTATAAATTGCCGGCTTCTAAAAAGTGTCTACATTTTTTGCTCACTTGGTCCTTTTATAACTAACTCAACAAATTACTACAAATCCTTTATTAATTGCTTTCAAAATAATGTTACATTTTACAGATTCATTAGACAGCTGTTGGTTTTGAGGTTTATAAGAGTATAGTAAGAAAAAAACATGAACATTTCAGATTTACATTTTCAAATTTGCACTAGAAGTGAAAAATATTATTTAGCAATGACGCGGTAAAAATGATGAAAGAAATTTGTTGACATCATTACAACACTCGAGTAAATCTAACCATCACTCACAAAACATTATCTTCACAAAATAACAGGAAAAGGGATCAACAAAGAGGTGCCTCACAGGAAATGAGCGCTCATCCCGACGCAGATCATTTGAGTTTTATTGAAACGGATGGGTTTGAAAAATCATACTTTTTAAGAATATACCTTAAAGTGTATTTTATCTACCGGTTTTGGATTACATTACTGTTTCTTAAATTGTTACACTCATTCTCTTTCTTTTTTGACTCTAATTATGTATGTATGTGCGTGTTGTTTTTGCTGAGCTATGCGATACAATTAAATTGTTTCGCATAGCTTAGCAGCACACGCAGGTTTGGCTTTAGGACAGTGAACTGCCTGGACTGGCGGAATTAAAACTAAAGTTGAATGTCTTCTTTTTTAAGACAATATCATTGAATCTAAATTCATGATTTGCTTCACAATTGACGTCAATATCAATTAAATCTGTTCTATATCACATAAATCAATTGATTTTTTTACCAGCCCTGTACTTGTTACAGTTACTGACCCAATAATATATTTTTAAACACAAGTATCGCCAATAAGATTATTTCAAGCAACCAATTCAAATATTTGTCGTTTTGTATTAACCTCATGTTTTTTTTGTTCTTTTCTATAGACAGAGGGCCTCCATATACATGCGTGAAAAAAGTCACTCCACTACGTGCATGCAAAAACACTATCAAAAGGGACACTAGCAGGCCAATGTTTAAAAAGGACGAAAAAAATTCTGAGCTCACTGACTTTCAGTTCCGAAATAATTGCCGTTTATGAATGAATAAAAGGTTTCTTTTAATATTTGATATATTTGAATGTTAGATCACTATTAATTGACCATGTAGATATATATTTGGATATGATTGGTGAGTTTCATCTTCAAACTCAAATATCTTTATTTCATAAAAAAATTGTTTTATTAGAAATCGTCTTTTGTGTAGACTCATCATCAGACAGACAGACATCAGAAATCATAGATCAACACACACAATAGCAACAATCTCTATTTTGTCAAATACTTAGTACACTAAATATATACTTATCGAAAAACTCTGACTGTGCCGATCTACAACCGCCCATTTCTAACAATATCAAACTGTTTACGATATATGTATATACGAAGTTGAGAAGCAAATTTAGTAGTTGTAACAAGTCGTTTGAAGATAATATCAAAAGTAAGAAGATAATAGCAAAAGTAAGTTTCAGTCGAGATTTTCTCATGTCAATTGAATTATGGTTCCTTCTGGAAGAAAATTCTATATTTTGTATAAAGCTAGTGTTCTTATATTTATGTAGCTTGGAAAATTTAATACGTTTCTACCAACTAACTTATGTTCAACCGTAATACAATAAGCGAACGAAATTAAAGACTCAATCTATTATATATTTTTAAGTACTTTACGGTAATATTGTTATCGTCGAAGTCATCGCTCTCTACTCGGCAATAATTTGGTCTTGGTCTATTTTATGAGTTTTAATAAAACTTTTCTAAAACTTGTATACTCGTTGCAATCAAGCTTTTGCTAAACAGATTTTGTTACATAATGTAAAGTTATAAAAAGGTAGTAGAAAAAATTAAATTGATTTCAATTTTGAAGTAATATTTTATAAACATTTAATTAAGATACAAAAACAAAACCATAGGAAGTTATCACACACAGTCTTTTTAAACCTGTTTTGAGAGTGAGTGAAATACAAAATCTGTCTGACTATGTTTATTTGCAATGCTCTTAATGTTTTTATCTTTTATTCTTTTAAACTTTACAATCATACTTGAAACGGACACAAAGAGCACCCAGACTCAGAACAAACACTGTCCTAGTAGGGATCGAACCCACTACAAACAGCGCAGCAGTAGCAGCGAGGCGCTCTCTTAAAAACCATTACAGTCTGATGACTTGCATTTTGTTAGACTGGACGAATTTCCTCTTGAATATGGACGAAATATCCTACCTTGGGTGCCACTATCGTAGATTTCAATTGGCATGTGTATTACATGCATACAATTTTTTTTAAAAGAGTTAACAAACACTCGATAAACGTAATTAAAGAATGTGACTAATCGAATTATATTAATCACAAACATAGTGTAAAACAAAAGTTTTAAATTATAGAAACCCCAGTAAGTGATAACTACAGTCAACAACCTACAATCAATAGAAAATATAAACGTAAGTGGATATGTGTCGTCAATTTTAGCTGACTAGCAAGAAAATATAAGCAAAGACGATCTAAATCAAATATAATTTGGGATGCGCAAATATCTTTATGGAGCTCTTCTCTACAATGAGTATTGAGATGAAAAAATTGCCATTTTCAGACTTGTCTATGTAATATGTCTAAAATTTAATAGCTTATGTACTATCAACATAATTTCAGAGATTTCCTCAGCACCGCCTGAATAAGTTTGCGGTATAATTCTAAAACTATTGAAAATATGGAAACTGTTTTTTCTGATGTAACGAAAAAGATTTTAGAAAACATAACAAAAACATTAAACTTACAAAGCACACCACAAAGACGACAACTAAAGAGAAAAAACTGTACCAATTAAGTAAAATATCGGTAAAGCCTTTTCCTCTTGTAATTTAGCGTTATAATTGGCGACCTAAAATGTACATCGTAACAAAATATAATCACCTTTAAACTAAAAAAAATAATGA